CCCAGTCTGGTTTGTGCCTCTGTGCATTGTGGGGTTATTAATCTTGATAATAGAAATAGAAAAAAGAAACGTGCCCCTGAAAAATAGGTGTTGATGTAAAACACTGATGAATGGGGGGGGGGAACCCACAATTGTGATTTCCTAATGCTTATCTTTACCATATGTTGACGTGGAACAGTACTAAATTGAAAACTAGTTGGAGAATAATGCATCCATTCTATACAATATTTCATTTCCAGAATTGCGTATGCAAAGGCACAGCTCTGCTGGCTGATCCTGGTGATGCAATTAAAATTTCAGAACCTGAAAATGGAACCCTGATGCATTTGAATAATTTAATCACATTAATAAAATTATTTAGCTCTGTGGGGCTTGCTGTCAGAAGGAGAGTTAGACATATTTGTTTCGCTGAGTTTGCTGCAAGTTGCCAAACAACTTAGCCTGGCCAGTTTCTCTATGTTGACAGGACAATGGAGTTTCCCTTCATTTGTTTGCTTTCTGTCGTTTTGAAAAATAGATCTGTTGATCCAGAAATATGCCAGTTGAACAGATGGCTGCAATTATGCGAATAGGCAAGGGTATCCGTATCTATAATTATAAACAAACAATTGAATAAAAAGTTAAAAAAACTCTGCAGCAAAGGTGCAGAGCCGCCATTCTCTTTTTCATGTGTCCTCGCCAAATCTTGTTTTTTTTTTTTAATTGAAAATTTTTAAGATTTTACAATAGCAAAAACAAAACAATTTTCCCTATCCCTCCCCAACCCTCCCCCTCCCTCCCCCGACTATCCCAGAGTTGGATATAGGCTTAATTAAAATTTCTTCAAAAAATCTTAAGAAAAATATAAAATATAAGTAAATCTAAATACATTACTTAAACGAATTACAAAATGATTAACAATAATATATATGTAAAAAAAACATAAATACCAGAAAAAAAGAAAAAAAAAGAAATGCATAAAAACATGAAAAAGAGATTAACTTTTCAATATAAGTTATAAAACTGTAAACAAATCTAAATACATTACTTAAACAAATTATAAAATAATTAAGAGTAAAATATATATAGAAAAAGATAAGTACAAAAAAAAAGGAAATAGAAAAAAGGAAAGAAGAAAAAAAATAATAAAAAAATGGCTTTTCAAGAAAATTAGCTTTTCAATATAAGTTATTAAAAAGCTAAATAATATTTTTTAATATCCATCTTATGTTGTATAAAGTCTATCCATTTCCTCCATACCACAACATACTTCTCTTGTGATTGATCCTTCAGGAAGGCCAAAATCTTTGCCATTTCCGCCAAATAAGAAACTTTAAACAGCCACTCTTGCAAAGTAGGCAAAGATTCCTTCTTCCAACATTGTGCTACTAACAACCTTGCAGCTGTGATTAAGTTTAAGCCAAATCTTGTTTTATCAGCCCTGAGAGCTGCAGACAATTTGCCCGCTAGAAAAGGTATAATGAGGAAGCTCAGTTGAAGGTGTGCCACTGCCACCGCCTCTATAGTTATTCCTGATTTGAGGGATCATATTACATTTTCACTCCATGACCTTTTGAGGGAAAGGTGCTCATCCCGCCTAAGCTATAAAAGTCAGATGGGAGATTTTGGGCCAATGACAAGGAGATGATGAGTTTTAATCCCGCCTTAGCCATGAAAGCCATCTGGGTGACTTTGGCCCAATCATAAGGGGACTGAGTTCTAGTCCCACACCTACGCTATAAAAGCCAGTTGGGTGACTTTGGGCAAGTCACTGTCTCTCAGCTCAACCATCTTCACAAGGGTGTCGTTGTGGGGAAAATAGGAGAAAAAGGTGTCAGAAATGTTTGCTACATTGACTTATTTGTAAAAACAACCAAGGCAAGAAATAGATAAGTAAATGAATGAATGAATGAATGAGTTCAGCAGTTCGATCCTGACTGGCTCAAGGTTGACTCAGCCTTCCATCCTTCCGAGGTGGGTAAAATGAGGACCCAGATTGTTGAGGGCGATAGGCTGACTCTGTAAGCTGCTCAGAGAGAGCTATTAAAGCACTGTGAAGCAGTATATAAGTCTATTCCTTCCTTCCTTCCTTCCTTCCTTCCTTCCTTCCTTCCTTCCTTCCTTCCTTCCTTCCTTCCTTCTTCCTTCCTAGTAGTTAGAACACAGGATTGCAGGCTGAGTCTGCCCACTGCCAGCTGTTCGATCCTGACTGGCTCAAAGTGGACTCAGCCTTCCATTCTTCCAAGATTGGTAAAATGAGGACCCAGATTGTTGGGGGCAAATTTGCTGACTCTGTAAACCTCTTAGAGAGGGCTGTAAAGCACTGTGAAGTGGTATATAAGTCTAAGTGCTATTGCTATTGTGTAGAGCCAGAAAAGATTCAGTAGCAATCAAAGCAGCTGAAGACAGGACGAGAAGCTATGGATGGAAATTAATCAAGGAGAGATCCAGCCTAGAACTAAGGAGAAATTTCCTGATAGTGAGAACAATTAACCAGTGGAACGACTTGCCTCCAGAAGTTGTGGGTGCTCCATCACTGGAGATTTTTAAGAAGAGATTGGACAATCATTTATCTGAAATGGCATAGGGTCTCTGCATGGATGGGGTTGAGTTGGACTAGAAAACCACCCAAGGTCCCTCCCAACTTTATTATTTTATTAAGTTGAAATTACAGTTAACATGTTGGGATACAGATCACTGTAGCTATAGCGTATTTAAACATAAAATCTCCGATATGTGCTCCATCTTTCTTCTTTTAATCAATATTCCCACTCTAGGCTCCCATCCCCATGAACATTTTTTTCCTCCTTATTTGACACGCTGGTTCTGTTTTTTTAGTTCATAAGGGAGTGCCTCCATTTGAAAGATTAAGAGAGACAGACAAGGGCTTGGGGAACTGGATGCCTGAATGTGTCTGTCAACGCTGCTAACATCGGATGTTCTTGCTTTGACAACATATGGAGATTCAGCCATTTTCCTTCTTATGTTTTACTCTTAGAATTAGAGTTAGACTTAGATGATACTGGGGGGAGGAGGAGGAATGTACATGGGAGTTTAGATAGACATAACAATATTGTAACTAGGGTGTGAACCAAGGTTTTTTGAAATAAGAGATGATAAGAAATGGTGGGTTGAAGAACTGGAGGGAAAGCCCGCATTTCAAACTAATTGGAGAATGTGATTTATGACTGTTAATTAGAGGAGAGAATTGTGCTTTGATACTATGTGCTCAGGGGGAGGAGAATTGAGATTTTGGCTTGGCCTATGTACCTGCCAATACTATGTACTCGAATAAAGATTCTTTAAGGTAAACAATGCCTCAAAGTTCTTTGAAAAGTTTCATCTGTTGGAACCCTGACAGTGTCCCCTGGGTTTTCATTTACAGATCAGGTCTGCTACAAACACAATTACCACTGGTAGAAACATAGAGGCTAGTCCGAGAAAACACATGGCAGTTTTGGCTCGTACCAAGCTATAATTGGGAAGATTATTTTTAATCACAGTTACTCCGCAGCCCAAACATGAGGGATTTCTTAATAAGGCTGACAGGAAATTAAACCCAAGCCCAAACAGCATTGATTGGGTTGCCTCAAAAGCACAGTAATATTCTGAGTTGTCTAATTATAGACCTTGATAACATTATATAACTATACTTTGGAAGAAGACCTTTAAATGACCAGCTATTGTTTATTTGCTTCATTTTACCACTTTCTTGTTTTTGAAAATCATTGGATTAAATGTTTCGGGATGCAGAATTAATTTTGCATATATTTTCTACATCTAACTATTGTTTATTAGCCTTTCTCGTATGCCATCAGCATTGTTTACCTCAGTATCCAGGCAGATTGCTGTTTTTTAGATGTGTGCATCTAGCCAGCCATGGCATTAAAAAAGAGACAGATTCCTTATTTTATTAGCCACTGATTTGCTTCAAGCTTATTTTTTAAAAAACAATGAAAGTTATAAAAACCAATGTACAAACCAAGAAAGGGAGGGAGAAACTTATCCATAAATCTAAATCTTTTTTTTTTCCTGTAAAATCCTCAACAGGATATCAGTAAGTTCATTAGACCAAAACAAAAATAGAGAACACCAAATTGTATGCTAGTGTTTTGTATTTCCATCCTGATAATTTCAACCCTTTGGCTTTTCACACATGCTTAGCTCACTCTAAAACACAGGAGCAAATTTTACGAAACATTTCTTAATAAGAATGGACACATCATTCTAAATCTTTGCCAATTTCACTTAATTCATTGGAATATTCCATCATGTTTCCACATCTGTCTGCAGTCTTAAGAACAAAACAGGACCAGTGATATTCCAAAGGTGCATTTTCAAAATAGAAGCACCTTTGGGACAACCATGATCTGAATGATGGGGAATCTCCTTAGACAGAACCAATGATATTTACAGTATGTTCTCCAGTTTGTTTTTTTATACATTTTCTTTGAACAGGAACATTTTTTTCCATGCGTGCAAAGTTAAGATCTGTACCACAAGAGTTAAACTGCCTTCTATTTTCATATTAACTGGAATATGGAAACTATTGGGAAATACATTGGTGCGTCAGCCTATAGGAATAGTAAGTAACTACTAGGACAGTAAGCGCAAATTGAATATTTCACTTAGATAATGTAGATTAGTGAAATCTTTAGTCATCCTTTACTTTGCTTTAATGGGCAACACAAATGCTACATGCTAATTCAGACATTCTTTTTCTCTTTCTGCTGAGAGATTACTTTTAATTCTCCCATGAGAAAGAGAATTGTGGTTAATAGGAATGCAGGAAACATGTATGATTGTGCGTTAAAATAACCTTGAACAGTCATATCCAGGTGGATAATATGTAGGAATAAATAAATGAGGTTAAACCCCATTCCTGATCTTTCTCCCTTTCCCCCTTAAAAAGTATTGTCTGTGTAAGTTTTATTTTAAACATAAATGATCTAAGGGTCTGGGGATCCTGGGAAAGACTGTATGAAAAGAAATAATACATTGCATTCTGTGTTTTATTTTAGGAAACCATAGAGAAGCCCAATGTAAGTGGAAGTTACAGTTTTCTGGAGCGAAGCATTCTTTCTGTAAGTGTAAACTTTCTTTTAATACTACTATGCTGTTTTAATTCTTATGATTTTTAAGTCTCATTTTACTACACACAGAGAGAGACAAATTACGATGAAAATGTGTATAACAGAAAACTACACAATGCATTGAGTTGTTTACATATTTATCAATTCTATGTAGTGATTATTTTTCTGAGTGTTTCTCTGTTGGAAAGAAGAGAAAGGCCTTGCTTTTGGGATTTGTTAAACCAAACACATTATTTTTTTTCTCACATATATATTTTTAAAGTTCCCTTTTAATAAAAATCCCCCAGAGTAATATTCATATCTGTCCAGCTGTTTTGGATTAATTTGTTCTCTGGAATTTACTGGTATAGGATAGTCTTTGTTGTCCATAGTTTATTCTATGAATAGAATAGAATAGAATAGAATAGAATAGAATAGAACAGAACAGAACAGAACAGAATAGAATAGAATAGAATAGAATAGAATCAGCAAGACAGTTTGGACTGTCAGATGTATGCTGTGTTCCCAGTATATTTCAAGGTGAAAACTCTAAATCAGGGGTGTCAAACTCATTTCATTGAGGGCCGCATCAGCATTGCGGTTGCCCTCGTGGGGCCGGATGGGTGCAATCTACTGGGTGGGCATGGATGGAGTGGGTGTGGCCTACTGGGTGGGCATGGCCAGCTCTACATCGTTCTTGTCAAGGGTGCCTGTGGGGGTCTGGGCAGGAGTGGGATAGATCTGAGGGTCCCTGGCAGAAGGGGGTGGGACCGGGGCAAGCGCCAAGGCATGGTCCATTTCTTCATTCCTCACAAAGGGGGACACCTCCCCAGCATGCACCCAGAGGGTGAGGCTGACGCGGCAGGGGCTGGTTCCTCGCTGTTTCCAGACGGCCTTGTGGAGCTAAGACTGAATGCATTTCAGCATAGATGGCACCACAAAATTGTACATTGGCTCCTGGCTGGCCTGGGCCAGGGCCAAGGCAGAGGGGGCTGTTCCCTCACTGTTTCCAGGATGACTTCATGGGCCACATGAAACCACTTCACGGGCCGCATCCGGCCCCCGGGCCTTGTGTTTGACATGTCTGCTCTAAATAGTACTTTTAATACTATCGGCCAAGGTATTGGGAGTCTTGAAGGACCTCTGTCAGTGGTCAATTCCTGAATTGTTATAACTTTGATAAAGTGCTAGATTTTACTTGTTCCCTCAAGGATTAACAATGTTGTGTCCTCATATTTGTGAAGGAAAAGCAAAAGTATTTTGTTTTGTTGGCAGTTTTCAGATGCTGCTCTTCCTGCTAGATTTTGGGTAGACATGATGTGAATTGTTGCTCTTTGATATTAAGGCATTGGCTTTTGTAAAATGTTTCTGCAATTTTTTTACTTTTGGAAATCATTCTGTATATTTATAAAATCACTATATTAAATACACTATTTTCCCTGTGATCGTTAAGGCATTGCAATGGCTCCGCACAAAATTCTAGGCTTAGAATGTTGTGTATTGTGTCTGTATTCTACCTTAAAAAGGACAGCATAGATTTGACAACAGTGTGGAAAAAGTAAACATACATAACAAAAGAGTTGGATCAAATCCCTATTGAAATAATTTTACCATACTGTTACTTATAGTTCAGAAAAAGTCCAAATGAAAATTTTAAATAGTTAAGTGCCAGTTTTGGTCCTCTTAAATTTATCACCAACACCAACTCAGTTCGTCTGCTAACAATCAAAAACCCACTTCCACATCAGTTAGTCTACCAAAGACTGACGGCACATTTCCACAGAACACTGGAATCTTGCACAACATTTGTGCAAGAACAATTTGTGGTGTATACAGTTGGCAGGCCGTATGGAAATTGTAGGATCTGCTTCCGCCAGTCTGTTTCCTTTTGGGATTCTATTGCTTCCTGCTGACATGGGAGATTGGTGAGAATGGACAGATTTATCACTCCTGATCTTCCCAGTAATATCCTGAGCAAACGCCAGGCTTCCCCAGAGTACATTTTGAAAAATCATCAAGGTACCCAAAGCCCATTTTTAACGGCAGACACAATACGCACATGTTCTATCCATAACTCTTGCAAGCATTTTGCATTTACAGAAAACACTTGTTGCTCAGATTAGAAATTAGCTGCAGTTTCATTCAAAAGTCTCCTACAAACCTCATTCTTTCTGTTCCATAGCGTGCCAATTATTATTATTTTTTACTTACTTTGCGCTCTCTCTCACCAGCAGTGCCATCTGTCATAAAACAGTAATATGGCAGTTAGCAGGACTGGAAGGAAAAACAGTGAAAGATAATTTCTTCCACCAAGAAGGCAGAAGAGAGAGAGAGTCCCCAGCATAGGGGAGATAGCAGTCCCTGAGCTGATTAGTATGACACCATGAGATGCCAACAATTTATATACAGTTATTAAATTTCAATATCTTTATAATGCTGACTGGAGGGTTTGAGGTGTAAAGGCTGTGTTCCCAGTGTAGAAAAAGAACTGATATGTCGGCAAAGATCAGCCTGATTAGAGCAGATAGATTAAGACAACCCATCCATGGATTCTCCATCCAATCATGCTGGAGAAGGCTGTGTTCCCAGTGTAGAAAAAGAACTGGTATGTCGGCAAAGATCAGCCTGATTAGAGCAGATAGATTAAGACAACCCATCCGTGGATTCTCCATCCAATCATGCTGGAGAAGGCTGTGTTCCCAGTGTAGAAAAAGAACTGGTATGTCGGCAAAGATCAGCGATCTCCTTATCCCAGGAATGGGGAATGATGGCTGGCCCAGAAATTCTGGGAGTTGAAGTCCACAAGTCATAGAGGGGCCCTCATTCCCTACACCAGAGGTCTCCAACCTTTCTCAGTTGGTGGACCAGAGGGAAAGGGAGGGATAAGCATTTTACGCATGTGCATGCACACACAAATGGGGCCACGAGCACACGCAATGCAAACAGGGCGGTGCTAGTGCTCGTTTGACACTCACTAACACTGCCCCATTTTTGTTGTGAAGATGCTAGCATCACTCCGTTTTTGCCATGCGGCACCCCATTTTTGTCATGTGGCGCCTGTTTGTGTAGTGACAGCGCACTGGCCAGCCTGTCCTGTGGCCCAGTGGCCAGCAGGCCATGGCCCGATAGTGGGCCATGGGCCAGAGGTTGGGGACCCCTGCCCTATGCCATGAAGATAATGGCCAAGCGTCCAGTAACTCCAACAAATGAGATTAAACGCCTAGAATCTGAAATTCGGAATATGGGTCCTTAAAGTACCCGACTCCTTTACATGGCAGAGAATGATCCTTCTGTTGTATATGAAGTTTTGCTCTTCTCTGCCATACAGGTTTTAATCCAGTTGAGTTATAGCCAAGTTATATCTAGGGCTGAGTTCAGGAAACACCTGATGAAGAGGTTAATCATCTGAAGAACTGAGATTGATGTCCTTGTCTTGGTGTGGAACCTAACACTAGGGAAAACAAGAAACAGGAACAAGAACACAACACAACACAACACAACAGAACAGAGTTGGAAGGGACCTTGGAGGTCTTCTAGTCCAGCCCCCTGCTCAAGCAGGAGAACCTACACCATCTCAGACAAGTGACTGTCTAGTCTCTTCTTAAAAATCTCCAGTGATGGAGCGCCCACAATTTCTGGCCCTCAACATTTGAGAAAAGTTGAATTTCGGTGTGTCTAATTAGTGCCAGTGTTTCCCCTTGTGATTGGAACCAGACGGACACTTTGAATATCAATACTTTTTCTAGGGCTAAGGGCTGACTGTCATTTAACAGAGCTGAGTCTGGAATCCAGCAGGTTGCCTGGTTACAGAGAATGTAGATGAGCTGACTGCTTAGTCCACCATATGGCTAGTCATTTCATCCCAGTCACCTGTGACATGACCTACACGTGTAGTACATTAGCAATTTATAAGATAGCTTATAATTTAGGAAACACAGAAGCAGGCAGGTGACCTATCAAAAAGCCGGTTTTCTTCATTATTTTCAAGGGTTCTTAAAAATGCATGAGTATGTTTCAGACCAAAAAAGGCTTCTATAATTAGATCCTTGGCAGGCGTCCGCAAGTAAGTTGAGATGTGAAATTTGAATGTTTATGGTGGTGCTGAGAAATTTAATAAACTTGTGTTTTTCCCCCCAAGATCTTTAAAGTGCTGTATACATTTCCTAATTTTGTGAATGACACCTAATTCCTTGGGGCGGGGGAAAGAGCACAAAGAAAAATACAATCACATATACTAAACTTTATGGGGAGGATTTTCCATTTGAAAATATTTTAGTGTCCATTTCAAGGACTATTTTCAAGGTCACTTTGTACATAAAGAAGAGCAGCTGCTTTGAATTTCCTATTAATTTTTCATCTTATAGCAACAAACTAAACAGCACCTGGATTAGACAGCACTACCCGGATTAAGCAAGCCTCAAATCTTACTTAATTATAGGCTGTTGAATTATTTGCAGTCACACATAATGCTAAACCTGAGCTTTCAAAGCATGGATTCATTCAACAGACTAAGCCAAAGCCCAGCCTTCACATTGTTGTGTGGCATGATATGTCATTTTTGTCAAAAACACTCCTATTTAAGTTTGTGCATTTTGTGTGGTAAATACCTATTAGTATATGCAAATTTTGCCCACATCAAAAATTGAAACAGGATAAAAAATTTAAAGCATATTTAAAGCATTATGTTTTTAAATGAGTTTACGAGTTCCATTCCAATAAACAAATTTCTTACTCTCTGGTGCCCATGCTTTCTAGAAGAAGTGGAAAAGAGTGTATTTAACATGGTGAATGGAGATTTTGCTACTTATTTTGTGTTAGTAGTTGCATTTATTTATGTTTTCTACCCAGGGAGGTTTTTGTGTAGGGCAGAGGTCCCCAACCTTTGCAGCTTGGTGGCCCAGCTGGGGGGGGAGAGGGGAACTGGACCCCATGAGTGGTGGGCCGGCACATGTGCATGCGCAGCTCCACTCACACAAGAGAGAAGCTTTGAGGCATCACTCACACATGGGGAT